AAGGGCTTTTGTTTGCCTGTTGGCTTTGGCCACCATACAATCTAACAATGTGATTTATGATGGGGGATAGGAGCCCTATCAGTTCTAACCTCTGGAGGAACTGGAGATGAAAGGTATTACCCTGAAATGCCAAGAGGGGCTGAATACTAAAAATCAGCCATGCGGGCAATACATAATCAAGTCACAATAAAAGCCCTAGACACCAAAAGCTCAGATCAGCTTCCTTAGTTGGCAATATTCTCTGAGGAAGATGTCCCCTCAGATTGTGCAGGTTTGCCTAATTCTTTATACACCCTATAACAATGTTTTTAAAAACAAAAAGCAAACATTGACAAAACTTCTCAAAATAGCTCATGCGAGAAGCAGGGAAAAAAATCTGAAGGACATAGAAAACCTGAAATACACAGTTAACAAGCAACCTAATATATAGAGTTAATTTACATGACAACAGGATATACATTATTTTCAAACACTCCAAAATTCAACAAACGTGATCGTAAAATGAACCACAGCAAATATAAAATGTTTTAAATCATTTAGAGTATGCTCTTTGAACACAGTGGAATTAAACTAAAAACAATAAAAGGTTATACCAGAATACTAACAAATCTTTTGAAACTAAGGAATACACCTAAATGTCTCAAGGGTCAAAGAAGAAATCACAATGGAAATTTTAAAATATTTGGAACAGAGAGACAGAGTCCAAGATGGTGGCATAGGTGGACACTGAGCTCACCCCCCCCCAAAGAACACATCAAATATACACTTCTATGTAGTGTAATTCCTCCTGAGAGAGGATCCTGAGCCAATTGAACAGCTCTTGCACAACAAGCAAGAGAGACTGCATAGACTGGGTTGGGAAACATGAGAGCTCTCCTGGACCTGAGGAAACAACCCAGGACCAGAGGAATCAGTGAGTGCCATTGTTTACGTTTCTCCTGCACATGAATTCTGGGTGGGAGTTCCATCCAGGTTCTCTGATAGACCTGCAGGGCACCGTAGCACATCCCCAGAGACTCCTCCTAGAGTTAGATTCAGCAGAAAGAGATGAATGCCATAGCCTGCATAAAAGGGGTCCTTCCACCTGGAAATTGACTCAGCAGGTAACACAGGGTGCTGTTTAATGCACCCACTGGGCCCCACCATTTGGAGAGGGTGCAGAGATAGAAAATGCTGCATGCCCACCTGCTGGGCTAACCTATCAAAGAAAGTGTGGACATAGTAGGGTACTGCTGTGCACTCAGGTGGGATGGCGCTTCTTGGAGAGAGTATGGAGCAAGCAAAATGATGTGGCACCTGAACACAGGACTGATATATCTGATAAGGCCTCAATATCCAAACTATATAAGAAACTCATACAACCCAATAATAAAAAATAATCCAATCAAAAATGGGCAGAGGAAATGAATTAACATTTCTCCCAAGATGACATACAGGTGGCATACATACATATGAATAGGTAAACAGACAAATGAATAGGTAATCAATACCACTAATCATCAGGAAATGCAAATCAAAATCACAGGATACTGTCTCACACTGACTTTTTCCAGACTGACTATTAAAAAAAAGTCAACAAATCACATGTGTTGGTGAGGATGGGTAGAAAAGGGAACCCTTGTGCATTGCTGGCAGGACTGCAAAATAGTGGAGCCACTATGGAAAACAGTATGGAGATGCCTCAAAAATCTAAAAATAGATCTACCATCCACAAAACCAGCAATCCCACCTCTGGGTATTTATCCAAAGAAAACAAAAACACTGATTCAAAAAGATGTGCACCCCTATGTTCATTGCAACATATTTACAGTAGACAAGATATGGAAGCAACCTAGGTGTCCATTGATAGATTAATGGATAAAGAAGATGTGATAGATGAGGTCTGTCCAGAACGTATCTAGCCATGTAATAGGAAAAATAGAGACATTTATTGAAGAAGATACAAGATACAAGAAACATTGTACATAAGACAATGTTGCCTCAGTCCCCTTCAAAGTAGGCACCTTGGGACCTCACACGGTTCTCCCAAATGCCATCAGCTGCCCTGTCGTATTTTCCTGAATCTCATCGATGGTCTAAAAATCTCTTCCTTTTCAAAGGTGATTTTAGTTTTGGAAAAAGCCAGAAGTCGCTGGGCACCAAATCTGGGCTGTAGGAGGGCTGAGTCACCTGGGTGATTTGATGTTTCACCGAAAAAATTCTGCACCAGACGTAATGTGTGAGTGGGCACATTGTTGTGATGAAGCTTCCAATTACCAGTTGCCCATAGCTGCAGCCTTCTGAATCATTTGAATAGTTTCCATGGAGGAATGTTCAAGCTTAATGCAAAATTTCATACAGATTCATTGGCCTACTTGCTCAGTCATTTTGAATGTGAGTTCCACACAGTACACATGCTCACTCAACTGCATCTACCACCCCCACTGACTAGTAGAGTGAAGTCATCATTGTTCACGCACACACATTCCAATCCATTCTCTTTGGCTGCCAGGCTTCACTGATTTTGTGCAAACTGTTCTTGTTATATTAATAATGGCTGGACTTTTTCCAGACAGACCTTGTATTACTAAGGATACAGATTAGTCCTTGGTCCTCAGACTTTCTGTATCTATCCTTTCCACAGTAATCAATCTCCAAGTCTTCCATGACTTCAATATTATTTTTTTGCATAATATAAAAGGTCTTTATTTATATAGCCATCCAGTTTTTATCTTACTCTTTTGTTTCCTTGTGGCCTCTAGTGCACTGGCATCTTCCATCTCTACCAAATCAAGCTACTTAAAGATCTGCAAATGTGATATTATCTCTTATGCCTCCCACTTTGAACGAACCATTTTCTCAGCTACAAATGCCCTTTCCCCAGACCTTCAATTAACTAATCCATACTGTTTTATTAAAAGTTGGTCATGGAATCATTTCCCCTAAAAATTTCTCTCTACGTGCTCCTGTTGCATGGATCATCCTGAATTAGAATCTGTTAACAAACCCTATTGAGAGATTATTTACAAAAAATAAAATACACTTTTTAAATATACAGTTTGATGAGTTTTGACAAGTGTATATGTCTGCATAATCATCAGTTCAATCAAGTTATAAAGCATTTTTTGAAAGAATGCATGGATCTCTGTAGAGGAGGACTCATTCACAGCAGGAGGGGCCCGTGGCGAATGCCTGCTTCCTGGGCTGGAGCTAGGACCACCTCCCAGGGTCATCACAGGCCTCCTCTGCTCTGACCTTTCTACTGGCCAAGTCTGCAAGCCTCAGAGAGAGGGAGTCATCATCCAAGTGAAAACAAGAACACTGTCACCATGACAACCAGTCACCAGCCTCAGGACAGGTACAAAGCCATCTCACTTATCTTCTTCTTGCTGGGTCTGGGGACCCTGCTCCCTAGAAATTTTCCATGACAACCACTTGGTATTTCACAAACTGCTTGGACCAATCCCAGAATGTGTCCTTGCTCACTGCTGAACTGAGTAGGGACATCCATGCTCAGCCACTCCAACAGCACCCTCTCTGGAGAATTGCCTGAGTGCCATCTTCAACAATGTCATGACCTGTGTGCCATGCTGCCCCTCCTGCTGTTTACCTGCCTCAACTCCTTTCTGCATCAGAAGATTCTCCAGCCTGCTCAGATCCTGTGCAGCTGGTGGCCATCCTGCTGGTGTTCCTGATTACTGCTCTCCTGGTGAAGGTGCACCTGGATGCCCTGCCCTTCAGCATCACTGTGATCAAAACTATGCTCATTATTTCATTTGGTGCCATCCTGTAGGGCAGCCTTTTGGTCAGCCTGGCCTCAGGCCTGACAATTCTACGGCCCCTATCACAAGTAGCCAGGGCCTGGCAGGCATCTTATCTTCGCCTCAGTAGCCATGATCTGTGCCATTGCCAGTGCCTCAGAGCTGTCAGAAATTTCCTTTGGCAGTTTTTTCACAGCCTGTGAGGGTCATAATTTTGACCATTATCTGTTATCTGGGCCTTCACCTGGGAATTCTACTGTTACTACCAGCAGATCAAGCTCGAAGGGCTGGGGAAGCAGGAGACCAAGTTGAACCTAATTAGTAAAGAGGAGTCAAGAGAAGGCAAAGAGGAGCCTAGAGTATCAGTCTGCAACTCTCGAGCCCACCAAGAGAAGCCACTCAATCCACGCCATCCTCAAAACTACCTTAGTACTTGTTCTTTCTGTCTGCTTCATCTTCACAGTCACAACTGGGGAGTTTCCAAGCATCAGCACTGAGGTCAAGTTTAACACTGCAGGAACTAGCACCTGGGGACACTGCTTTATTTCCTTGTCCTGTTTCTTGACTTTCAATGTGCTTAGCTGAGCCAGAGCCTCACAGCCATATCCATGTGGCCTGGGAAGGACAGCTGCTAGCTGCCAACCCTGGTGCTGGTCTGGCTGGTGTTTGTGTCCCTGCTACTGCTGTACAACATCCAGCCCTGCAGATACCTAGCTGTGGTCTTTGAGCATGATGCCTGGCTCACCTTCTTCATGGCTACATTGCCAGTCTCTGCATGTGCTTCAGGCCCAAGAAAGTGAAGCTGGCTGAGGCAGAGACAGCTGGTGTCATCATGGCCTTATTTCTATTTCTGGGCCTGGTGCTGGGGGCTGGCTTCTCCCTATTCCAGGCAATTTTGTGACTATGGATGGACAGAGGACTGCACTGGCTGCCTGCTCCTGTCCTTTCCATCATCTTTGGGGATGAACAGGATTGGCTGGAGGTTTACACTCTTTCTTAAAAAAATATTTTTCTGGGCTTTCACATTTGTTGATTTTTTTTCACAAAATCTTCTTCAACACAATTTACAACCTCGTACCCATTTGCAGTCTGATCATACAAACACTAAAGTGACAGAAAGGTCTAGAATGAATACATCAAAAAAAGAGCATAAGCTGTGCAACTAAGTTGCATGCAATAGGTCTCTGAGGATGGGGGACAGTGTCACAGAAATAAAGCAGAGTAAAACAAAATAATTGGAAGGTTTTAGCTAAAGCTTTTTCAGTCATCTTTATCTTTAGCTCCATGTTTAAGGATTTGTGTGAACTCAATGTAGTTGAAATTTCCGTTTTTGTCAATAGGTGCTTCTCTGTACAGCTCATCCACTTCCTCATCTGTAAACCTACCTCCCATTGTTGTCAGCAGCTCTCTCAGGTAATCTTCCTGAATGGTGCCAGTTTCTTCTTGATCAAAGCAAGCAAAAGCATTTCTGATGGCATCCTCTGGATCTGTGCCATTTAACTGCTCACCAAATATCATGAGGAACATGGTAAAATTTATGGGCCCTGGAGCCTCATTCATCATGGCATCGAGGTATGCAACTATGGGATATTTCCCTAGAGAAGCAAGCACATCATGCAAATCTTCTTTGTCAATGAATCCACCTCTGTTCTGATCAATCATGTGGAAGGCCTCTTTAGACTCCTGAATCTGTGACTGGTCAAACATGGAGAACACATTAGATGTTGCATGCTGGGGACACTTATTGGTAGTCTTGGTCTTTGTCTTCTTGCTTGACATGGTGGCTGTTCAATTCACAGCTAAACACCAGAACCCAAGCTGCCCTGATGAGACAATGAGTGACTGTAATGAGCACTCTGGAGGTTTTCTCTTTGAGTTAATTTCTGCTTTATCATGGCTTTTGCAGGGCCCAGGTGCCCAGGCCTGGAGGAGGAAGCCTCTGGGTGAACAGAGGTGACTTCATGGGCCTGAGGGTCAGAGTCAAGGGAAGGGACACGGTGTCTGCATATCCCCCCACACTTGGTTCTGACTGTTTTATCTTTGAGCAGGACAGCAGAGTCTCCTAGGCTGAGAGTGAGTATGTATCTGTGTATGTTTGTCTGCATGTACTAGGGGTGTCTAAAGGCCAGGACTATCTATTTTAAAGTCTAGTCTCATATTTCCATCCCCCTATATCCCATGTGCCTCCTCCCCCAATGTCTCCCTGTCCCTCCTCTGCTACCCCTGCCTTGTTCCTACATATCATGCACCCTGTACAGTTGCCATTTTACTGCCCTTTTTATACTCAACACAAACCAGTAATTTCAGAGACACTCTGACTAAATTAATCGGGGGTTTTTTTCTGAAAAAAAAAAGTAAAGCATTCTCATCACCAAAAAAAATCCCTCATGTTCATGTCCTTTTGCAGGCAATCCCACACACGTAGGCAGACACTAATCTTATTTTATATAAACATAATTAGTTTTTCTTACTCTAGAACTTCAAGTAAATGAAATGACATGATTTCCGAGGTCGGCTTGTTTGTTGAATATGATATTTTTAGGAACTACATATTGTTGCATGATTGGTAATTCATTTCTTCATACCCCTCCAGGGTATTCCATTGTATGGATCTACTATACTTTATCTATTTACCTGCTGATGGAAATTTGGTTTGTTTCCAATTTGAAGCTATTATAAAAAGAACCGCTATCAACATTTGCACATAAATCTTTTTGTGGATATATATTTTCATTTCTCTTGGGTAAACAACTAGAAATAGAATTGCTGGGTCATATGGTGGGTATACGGGAATGTTTAGTTTCATAAGAAACTGCCAAAATATTTCATAATGTTTGTTCCTTTGTAAATTTCCAGAAACAGAGTAGGAGTGCTTTAATTGCCCTATATCCTGGACAACATTTGGTATTATCAGATTTTTAATATTTTTCCATTCTAATGGAACAAAGGTGGATGATAAGGATGACATGTATAAAACATTATCTCATTATGATTTTAATCTTCATTTTCTTCATGACTATGTTCAACATCTTTTCATCTGCACTGGAATTTATTTCTTAACATACTTGGAGAGTCAGAAAATCATCTCTGAAAGAATCTGACTTTGGAATCAAAAATCCATGTTTGAATCCCAGATCTGCCATTTGCAGTTGTTTGATCGTGGGCCACTATTCAACCAGTATGAGTCATAGTTAATTTACTTACAAAATGAGGATAATACTGTCTAACAGGTAGATTTCACAGGTTGATAATATATGTGAGGTGCCTAGCCCAATGCCTCTTACATAGTAGAGCTTAATAAATGGTAATTATGGTTATTATTGCAGAAATTGGTATAGAACCTTACCAGTTTTCATTGCCAGGACATGGCAACAGCTGCAAGCATTACTTGTAATCCTGTTTTTAGAGCTCAGGAATTTGGTCTAAACTCCCTCATCCCTTCATTTCCTCTCGAGTTCTCAAACATCAAATTTTTAATGATTTCTCTAATTTGTGTCCCACTGCCTCACTAAAAGTTTCATAAGGAAAATAATACATCTGTATTATATATCTCTATATCCTCAGCAACTAGAACAGTGCAAATAATACTTGCAGAATGAAGAAAGGAATTAATACTTACATCCCCACTCAGTCTCACTCTTATGCATTGATGTACACATTGATTGTTCTGCCTGGTTTTCCATCTTAATTTCTCCAAGAAGAATAAGACTCTTTCTTTTGTAATTGCCCATGGATAAATCCTGCCCCACTGCCACCCAGCCTAGAAAGTCTAAACACTACATCTTAGTGTAAATCAACCTTCTAAGTTCATGTTTATCTAGAAAAAGACAAAATCTGAAGTCACAATTCTCTGATCATTCAGTTCACAGCTTTTGCTAAGTCCTATCACAAGCTGTAGTAAACTCACAAGCATAATTGACTCAAAAGAAATACAGCATTAAGGGAAGGAAGGAAGGAAAGGAGGGAGGAAGGGAGGGAGGGAGGGAGAGAGGGAGGGAGGGAGAGAAGAAAAAGAGAAAGAAAGAAGAAAGGAAGGAAGGAATAAATAAATAAATAAACAATCAATATGGGTTATAGTATCAGATGAATTTATGATAGAGATTAAACTCTACCACTTATTTGCTATATTACTCTTGAAAAATTACTTAGTTCCTCTAGGCATTAAGTTTCTCCTCTTTAATGTAGGTAAAATATGTAGATAATGCATACAAAGAGCTCAGCATAGTTCTGAGCTCATATGCAAACTTTCAATAAGTATCGGAGGTGACTTCTCCAAGGATGAAGTATTTGAGCTGAGATTTGAAAGATAAACAGGAGTTGGCAAAGAGCGAGAAAAGAGCACTCACTACATGCAGAGGGAACATTATGTGCAACAATAAGTTTGGGGTAACTTTTCACCAGTGTAGGTTTCTACTAATACAAAGTAATGTTTCACGAAAGGTAAATGGTGTTAAAAGTCTTAATAGTTTCTTCAAATTGAGATAATGACAGCCATAGTGGTATCTGGCGACTTTGTGAAACAAGTTCTAATCCAGTACATCTGAACCAATCCAGCTAAAATTATTAGACACTAAGAAAGTTAGCAGAAAGCAGTCACCTGAGAATACCTCAAAAGAGCTGACTTTGTGGTACATTAAAATTAAAGCTATTCATTGCAAATTGCCTCTATTTCAAGTTCTTAGCCTCTTTTGGCCAGAGGCCCCAGTTACTTCCTGAAAAACCCACACCCTCCATTATAACAGAAATCTGTTACCAGTACAAAGAATACCTCCCAACAGGCACCAGCGTACATTCCTGTCACCTTTAGCTCAGGCCTCCAGCAATCAGTGATAGAGTATCACAAATAAATGTTGAAGAGTTTCTCTAAATGTCAATTATGACTACATCAGTCTGGTGCCAAAGCTCACATGTTTGCCAAACAGGCCTATTCCACAGGCCTAATTTCATCGCAAAGGCTCTTCACTGGAATACAGAGGACAACTATTCATAAAAACCATTACCATGCAGAGGAGAGGAAGATTGCAGAGGAGTGAATGGGAGTCACACTGACCTCCTCCCAAGAGCAAACTGGAATTGTGACTAAATAGAGGAGAAATCACCTGGAAAACAATGGAATGATAGTGGGAGAGGAGCCTTGGTGCCGCGGACAGTGGATTCAACTCTCACACATCCCAACGGGGGAGAAGTGTGGTGGAGGCTCGAGAGGGTTGGCTGGGTGCCCATGGGCACTAACACCAGAGGGACATTTAAATGGCCAGTTGGCTCCCCCAGAGAAGAACCGGGTCTGAATCATAACCAGGGACCTCTAGACTGCAGCAGCTAAAACCAGGAAAACACACAGTTAAAACGCAACCCCGAAAAGCTTAGGGGCACTCTCTGCCAGAGACAGGTGGCTGGGGATGCAAAGACACATTTACAGGGCCAACGCAAAAATTGCAGTGGCAGCCACCCTCCTTGATCTCTGGGCAGAGGTGGCGGCAGAGTGGGCTGGTGCCTATGAAAAGACTGGTGAGGAAAAGGTTGTGAAGAGAACTTAGAGAGTGGCCGACGGAGCCCCGGTGATAACTCACCTCCCACTCTGCAGCTACCATCCTGCTCAGGCATAAGGGAATCAATTAACTTGCCTTTTGTGCGTTCCGCACACAGCTTGTGTGCGTTTGAGCTGAGAGGCTAAGTGCAGACAAGTTGGAAGAAATAGTGGATCCTTGGCCGAAGGGGTCACAGAACTGCCCAGAGACCCCTGAGGAGAGATTGGAAACAGAGGCATTGCGGAAAGAACGGGAGGAGGAACCGGGGAGTCCCAACTCCCTCCCCATTCCGTAGTCTCCATTTTGGGCAGGCAGGGGCACCTCCGAAGAGGCAGAAGCAGGACGCACACGAACCAGACTGCCCGTAATTGCAACACGGCCTGCACAAATACTGGATCCTTGGCATAAGGGGGCACAAAACTGCCCAGGGACCCCTGAGAAAAGACTGGAGACAGAGGTGTTGTGGAAAGAACAGGAGGAGGAACCGAGGAGTCCCGACTCCTTCTTCTTTCTGTAGCCTCCATTATGTGGGAACAAGCCACACCACCAAAGAGCAAAAAGCTGAAAAGCACACAATAGACAGCCCAAAACCACCGAGTGCAGACACGCACACTCGCGCCCAGTGGCAGGCGAGGGTTGGCGAACATGTGTGTGGACCCGCGCAGGCTGGCGAGGGCTTGCATGGGCTGGCAAGGCCTCCTGCAGGGTGGGCAACGATGGGGCCTGCGAGAGAGTGCACAGATTGGTAAGAGGAGGCGTAAATGGACCCGCACAGGCCCGCAGGTGCAGAACGGTCCAAAGAAATAGTGGATCCCGGCCAAAGGGGTCACAGAGCTGCCCAGAGTCCCTGGAGGAGAGACTGGAGACAGAATTAACCAGAGAGTCCTGGAGTTGACATCAACCGATTTCCTTAGTCTCCATTTGGCAAAGGCAAACGACACTCCCAAACAGCCAAATCAGGGAAAGCACACAATAGAAGATCCGAAACTGACCAGTCCAGGGGCGCCCACCGGGCACGGGTGCTAGACAAGTGCGCGAGGTTGTGTAAATAAGCACCCAGGTAGGATGGAGATACTGTCGGGTTGGGATCCTGTCAGGCACTCAAGGAGCCAGTGGGAGAGTGCAAAGCGATCCAAAGAAATAGTGGATGCCTAACTGAAGGGGTCACAGAGCTGCCCAAAGTAGGAGTCAGACACAGACAATAGAAACCTGTAATGCTCAAACAAATGACCTAAAGTCATATTGGGTCAACAAATGACATCA